GTGGCAGTCGAGGAAGCAGGAACTAATCGCTCTCTCCTCAGCTGAAGCAGAATATATTGCACTCTGTTCAGCCACCAAGGAAGGCTTGTACCTTCGCGAACTACTGGAGGAAGCGAAGTTGGCCCAGTTACCCAGCTTCACTCTGTTCTGCGACAACCAATCTGCAATTCGCATAGCGAACAAGAATGGGTTCGCGAACCGGACAAAGCATTTCGCCTTGCGATATTTCTTCGTGAAAGACGAGATCAAGAAGGGGAGACTCGAGCTATCCTACTGTCCCACGTTCGAGATGGCAACTGATTACTTGACCAAGAAGCTCGGAAAACATAAGTTCGAGTACTGCATGCTGCTGACCGGACAAAGCCACGTCACCAGCTGCGACACTTCAGAAGCGAAGGGGGGTGTTGGAAACAATTAATTGAACGCTTCTTACGTGTCGTAACACCGGACTACAAACGAGACAAACTACAGAGAAACAATGGCGAGTCAACCATCGGAGGTTGACAAGAGAAGTAACTGCTGGAGGTTACGCGAAGGTCAAAGGTCAGCAACCTTTGACTTGACAAATACAGCGCGACAGCAAGGACAAACAACGAACTCGCTATTGAGCAGTTGCCCGAGTCGTCACTGTATCAAACCGCAACAGCAACAGCAAAACGGTTATTAGCTGCATCTTTTCGTATTCCTTGTACTCTTATAAAACCTTGTATCTTCTTGCTTGAATCAATCTATCTTGCCCTCACATACGAGCGCAAGGTGGTTCAACACTTGTTACTAAACGCTTTCGCAAATACAACACTTCTACTCAGAGTTTAGCCTTGAAATATCCTAAGGGCTTTTCTCAGCCCAACACGGAACACGCGACTGCGGCCAACGCATGTACTGCACTGAAGGATCCTCGGCACTTGCGTGATGATTACGATATGACAAATTTCAGGGAAAAGCCGGGGGGGGGGGGGGGGGGGGGGGCGGAGGGGAGGAGGGGGGGGGGGGGGGGGGGGGGGGAGGGGGGGAAGGGGGGATTGCGTACGCTCTTCAGTGTAATCTTCGCTAAGGGAAAATTTACCCCAAGGCATCAGTGTGGCCTACGACGATACACTTACAGATCAGTGTAATACTAACTCACCAAAAAATTACCCTAGCATATCAGTGTAGACCCAAAATTTCACCCTTGTAATCAGTATAGAAGGGTAAATTACACTGCAAACCTGAGCCCTACACGGAACGCAATATCGAAGATGTGATTACAACTACCGTTTGAATAATGAACAAAATGCTAGCTAGGCTGGGTCTTCAGGGTCGCGAAGGATGGTTGCTGGTTCAAGTTTGTCAAACCCGAAAGCGACACGAAGTATGATTGGAAGGCGAGGTCATCGGACCGAGCCTGGGACTTTGAAAGTTGGAGTTGTTTGTGTACGGGAGTGACCCACTAAGGATTCAGGAAATTTCCTTACAAAGTGAGTTGTTAGTAACAATGGGTCCAAGTGTTCTGCAGGAAGCCTGGTCTGCCCAAGTCAAGCTGTTTGGTTCGAGCACAACACGAAGCCAACGGACATATGCCAGACCAGAGTGAATGGAATCTCGGTTTGGGGTTGGGTTGGAGAATCTTGCCTGCTGCCCGCTGTGCGACATCGCCTGGAGCTGACGACAAAAGGGTGACGGAACCTTGGTTGGGATTCGTGCGATAGTTGCCGAAATGCCCAATGTTGACTCTGCACCAGCATCCTGTTCGACAGGCGTGTACAATTGATGCCGGTTTGAGCTCCTACCGGTCGCCTTGTGAAGGGGGCGTATAAGCTCTATCAAGAATTTCGCATAGGTTTCGTCAATTCGCAGCTAGCTAAAAAGGGTTCGCAGGTGCTTATATTAAGGATCTGTAACCTTATTCGTTGACATTTTGACTTCAGTCTCTTCAGTCTGACTTCAGTCTGTTCGTTACTATTGGTCCATAACCACGCGACGCGCTTGTATCGTGGGTGCAACAGGCTGGGGAAAAGACCTCGGGTGCAGCGTTTTCATCCGGTATAGGGCAAATTCGCGTGCAATGGTTGGGCATCATGTGTAGTTCACTGCACCATGAACTTTCCACAGTGAACGAATCTCGCGCAAAGCCAGACTCCGTCAAGATGACGGAAAATCGTTATCGTTTCCGTCTCCCAGGCTCGTTCGTTCGCACTTGCTAAGAACCAGAAGACCTCCGTTCCACATCAGCGAAAGGGATGTATCACGGGAACAAGTGCACTCAGACTGGTGCAGACGTGCATGACTTGAAAGTCGCGAGCTGGATCCAGATTTCAAAAAGGGCATTTATCTTAGCGGTAACAATCATGGAGCTCGATCGCATCCGAGATAAGCCACGTGTACATTTCGTAACAAAGGTATCGTGTCCTCGCCACTGTGGTAACCATAATGCCAAAATGGTCAATATTTTTGCCTGCATGGTAATGAGCAGTGCATCCGGAATTCCTGGCTGGTAACTTCGCATTTCAACCAGACTGTACACCGTACAAGTAGGGTTTGACTCAGCGAAACGAAACTGTTTGTCCACGTATATACCAATAGAATGCGCAATTCTCTTGAGTGTACGAACACTTACAAATACAAAGCGTTACATGCACGTATGCGATACAATAATAGCAAACATCTTACAATCACTCTGTAAAAACAAAACAAAACGTCATAGGATCAGTTTCATGGTTCAATTATATTAATGAAATCACACATTACATTCTACTGTAAGATTTAAATATGCATTGCACTATTTGTAACATGTTCGTATAGTTTTGTTTATGCATTAAATGTATTTTTTAATGTAGAAATAATTAGTTGGTTTTTTATGCAAATTTTAATACATGTAGAAATAAATATTTTGTTGTTCAAATTTATATTATAATTGTTTTTAACTTGATCTAGATCCAATTGTAAAGATCCATAAGTAAAATTCTAGTAGATTAAACTAATGCGTGCCACAATATTCATCACTATGATAGCTTTGCGGTTTGAAATTGTGTTTTTTTTTGTGGCGCTTGTTTAACAGTTACTGTTTCAGTTTTAATTTTCTTAAAAAGATCACGTTTAGCAATAGCAATGTTTTATCGGTCGAGATTGTAAACGCCGCTACTATAAACAGAAATGCGCATTTTGTTGAATACACGTGGACAGTCAGTTTCGTTTCGCTGAGTCAAATCCTACTTGTACGCTGTACAGTCTGGTTGAAACGCAAAGTTACCAGCCAGGAATTCCGGATGCACTGTTCATTACCATGCAGGCAAAAATATTGACCATTTAGGCATGATGGTTATCACAGTGGCGAGGACACGATACCTTTGTTACGAAATGTACACGTGGCTTATCTCGGATGCGATCGAGCTCCATGATTGTTACCGCAAAGATAAATGCCCTTTCAGAAACGAGCAGCCATCCCTGGCCATAGTTGAGCTAGGCTACACACGTGGTGTACTTGGTGTTAGTTGGGAGCCACGATTGAGAATGGTCGCCACGGGTCGCTAGGAATTAGTTGCGACGTCGCTGCGATGGGATGCTTGATCTGCTTGAGAAGCGTGCGATCCACAGTCCCCTTCGCCACCGTCTTGTAGCCTCAGCCTCGCCGTGCTTTGAGTCGTGATGCGACGCCGGCGAGCTCAATGGCTGCTTCACCTTGGCTGCTCCGTTTGCAACCCTATTCAGGTTTCTTGCAAGCGACAGGTCGAATCTTGTTCTCATTAGACCGCTTGAAGTAGGCTCCAACTGTTGCACACGACCGTGTGAAGTCCGCTCGCGACAGAGAACAACTAAAGTCGGTAAACTAGGGTTTCAACGCAGGGATGTGCCCAGCTCCTGTTCTCAAGTTCATCCTTTGCCGGATGTCGCGGACGTGATCAGCCATACTTCGCCGTTTTCGCTGCAGATTCTGTTACCAGCTTTCCCGCTCCTTCTAGGTCCATGCGCAGCATGTCTAGTGACGGTACATAGTCCCCGCTTATTCTGAATCAAGTTCCCCGAACGTCCTTTCTAGAGTAGGCGTTCGTCGGATAAACCTACGATGTTTGGTCTTGATTTGAGAGGCCACCATGCTGACGCATAGTGCAACGCGTCGTCGTACAGGAACGTCGCCCGCGGCGTCGTTCCATCGCACGGCGACGAATGCTGCCTCGTCGTTTTGTCGCTCAGCGAAGCTGTTGCCGTCGCGTCGTCGCACAGCGACTCCACAGGCTCTAGTTCCGCTCGTGCTGCCGCTGCTGCTGCTCTCTGCGTGGCCCGTTCCCCTCTCGCGGTGCGACAGCGATGGCTCAGCAGCATCGCGGAAACATCCGCAGCAGGTAGTGCCTCACTCACACACACACCCCTCTTACACATACCACTCTCTCACGCACGCCCTTTTCACACCGTAAAAGCAGTGTAATTCGCCTGCGCCATTGCGTCCCGCGGTGCGACAAAGGTGGTAGCTGTGGGGTCGCGGAAGATCATGACACAGCCGGCAATACGTTGGACCTTATCCCCCATTCAGGCCAGGAATCGCAATAAGAGTTCATCTGAATCGGATTTGATTCGTCGACTGTAGTGCAATAGAAGCAAGCCTGAATGCTACATAAGTGAGGCCGCTTTCTACGCACGCAGAACTGCTGCACTGCTGCTGTGTTCTTTCCCCTGCACCTCTATCGTATGCTGGCGTGGTCCAATTCAATTCCCTCATGGTCCAGTTCAATTCCCTCATGGTCCAGTCAAATCCTGTTAATGTCGCCACATTGATTCCCTGAGCCCACCGCGTCTTCGTCCACCTCCAGGTGCATGAGCGGCGGGTGTTGGAGCAGATGAGCGCGTGGGGCCATGTGCGACTCACCAACGTTGCAAAAGCGCCAACAACAGTGGAGACGGCAGCACAGGGAGGAGCACCAGCAGCAGCGGCTGTTGAAGCACTTACCTCAGAAGTAGTAACAACCGCAACAGCAGCAGCAGCAGCAAGAGGAGCGCCGTCCGTGCGATCCCAGGCGTCGCCTTCA